ATGCATCCGGAGTTACAATACTATTGCTTTTACTGTGATATGTAATTCCTAATTCACCAATATGTTTTGGCTAATGCAATTTACATCAGTGAACGTATCAATTGATGCCTCAATGGGATATTTTCTTCAATTACACAATTCATAATCATCATTTTTTATTATGGTATATAATATTCAAATATAATAAATAAATCTATCCACAAGCGTTAGAGAACAATCTGATGTTTTAGAATAATAATGTATATTATTACTCAGTCTGATTGGCTAATTCATCACTATAAACCATTTATCCTTTCTTCATCATACTTTTCTTTGATGCTTATGAGGAATGGTCTTTTTATCTCTTACCTGATTTATCTCAACTGAATCAGAATCTTCAGAAGACTCAGATGAATAGGAGGAACCCTTACATTTTTTGATCTTTGGCGAAAAAGCTATTTCTTGTATTAAGTCAACTACAGTTTTCCTATTCACACATTCGTCTAGAACTTTTAATTCGTCTTTTAAGGATCTCACATCTTTCTCCAATCTTTTTACCCTCCTTTCTAAAGTATTAGGTTGGGAATGATAATCTTCCAATTGTTTCTTTAGTATCCTATTTTCAACGGAAAGCACACTATACATATTTGCATCTTGTTTAGGTCCAAATGTTTTGGCTATCTTCTCTATACGTCTGATAATTTCCTGCTCGATATCTGTACTATTAGATGAATGCTTTTGATCGGTTACCATTTTTGTGATATATTATATACACTATATCTTGCTTCGAACAAAAAAATAAATTAATAAATAATATTATCTGGTCTCATAAAGACCCCTAACCTTTTAAGTAGCTAGTTTTCATCAGAGATCTAGAATGACTTTGCCTGATGATACGGTTCTCCTCTTTTACGCATATTGACTATAGTATACCTCTTAGATAGAAAAGAATGGTTGTCTGAGCTGTGCTAAAGGGCTTCACTAGTATAAGTGTTAGCTTTTGATGTATTTTTTGGACTATGCACTTCACTTGCAAATACTGATCCTAATTTACGCAAAGAGCTAGGAAGTAGTGATTCATGACTTTATGTTTTAGGAATAAATTCATTCTTTTTCAGAAATTTATTTAAGAATTTAACTCCAGGACTTTCTGGATCCCCTAACTTTCTAGAAGATATTGCTTCCTGAATCTATGTAAGCAATTCTCTTGCCTGTTCCTCATTCGTTTCCAGCGATCTAAAGACCTGAGGAATATCTTGTTGACCCTGATTTTTTGCATAACCAGTTACATCTCCATTAGATATGCGCAAGATTTTAATTTAGAAGGACGAATGTATAACATGATCATCACATTAGCTAGGGCCTGTTTATCGGGTATATTAGACACATCGTACAAATCTAGCCTCTCCTTAACTAATTCTAATGAAAAGTGGTCTGGAAAATCGATTCCTTCATTTTCATATTGAACATTTTGCGCCTTTTGAATTTTGTTAGATGCACAAGTTGTTTCTCGGTCAAACATGGCAGAGGTTATTTCTTCTGGAGCATTGAGATTTTGCAATTCCCTTCAAACCCTAGATATACATGATGAACCAATAATAGCATTAGTAGCTGTTTCGACTAAGACTCTATGTATTGCTTCCACTTTTTTTTTGCTAAGATTATTTCGTATAATATGCTGAGCCATTTCTTTGATAGTCTCTCCTTCTGGAATAATATCAAATACTTGGTATATATTTACTTCTGCTTCTGACTCCTCTTCTTGAGAAGTTACTTGTATTTTAGCTCGACCAGTTCTTTGAGAGGGGACTAGTATGGATATCTGCTTTTTACTAAAATCATATCCATCTTTAAGATGCTAACAACTCTTATCTCTTTTCGTTCTATCCATTAAGAGCTTGAGTAATTCTAGCGCATACTGACTAAGCTCTCCATTACTCATCTTTGGGTTGAGTTTGCGGTCTGTAACGTACTTTGTTATAATTGCAGACATGATAATGTAAATAGAGATTATTGATCAACTATTAGATTGTGCTAAACCGTTAGGTTATACTACGCATAAAAAAGTTTAATTCGAAAAATATTTCCGAGCGAACAAAAAATAATATTTCAGAATTTTATATCGCTTAATTGTAAAGAACAAATAGATCCTCTTATCCAAACACCTTACCTATAAACTGGCTTCTTACTCGCTCTTTACCAAAGCATACCATTCTCCTGGAGTATGCTTATTATTTTTTGCCATTTTTCGTCAGAATCAAGCCACGAGGTTGCGACTCCATTATCCTCAAGATCACGACAGATAATTTCTTCTCCTATCAATCTTTCCCGTACTTTCATGTCAAAATATTCATTAGAATCTTCTTCTAACTCTACTGTGTAACTACACATTCGAGAGTCAGTTTCCATTCTATCACAAAATGTAATAGAATTAAGCCTATATTTTTCTGTGATAACTACAAATACATCTGGATCTTCACCATGATTGATTGCCCATTTCCTGAAATATTCTACTTATTGGCTCTGGATAGGAGAATAGCAGATGATAATTAATTAATAGGCTTTGGGGAATCAGTTGGGATCTCTTTAGGAGACATTGTTTCTTTAGGAGGCATATTCACAGCTTTACCGATAGGTTTGGAATTGGGAAGCTTGCTAGTATCAGGTTCATCAATTACTAGCTCAGGTGTTTTAGAAGTTACAGATTTACCAGATGTTCCAGATGTTGAGGCGACTAGAATACGGATATCTTCGTCCTGTTTATCCGCCTTCTTATCTTTACTAGTTCTAGATGGAGGTATACTCTTTTCTGGCTGAGACGGGATTATTTTTGGGAGAATAATTTTTGGTACATTGAATATAGGTTTGTCTGTGGCCTTACTCTGTATACATAAATCTTCTTGAGGTATTTCAGAAAATTCTTCAATATCGTCTAGGCCAGATTTACAGAGCTTGGCTATAATTTTAGTGTGATCAAGTATATACTGATATACTCTTATTCCATTATTCCGTGAACGTCTTCGATCAATACTAATTAGTGAAAATTTCTTACCAGCGATCTTACTAGTTAATGGTTTTTCCCTATTACACCTGCACCATTCAAGATAATCCTGATATACCTTTTCACAGCCAAACCTGCTAATCTGATTTTCAGGCCAAGTTGTAATATAATCAATTATAAATCAAATAGGATTAGAAAGTTACTCTCGCATTATTTCTATTTTCATCTTAGTTGCAGGAATTTTTCCTGGACTCCAATTTGATAAATCATGACTAAGAAGGTATGACATGACTATTCCTGATACATCAGGCTAAAATTTCCCCTAGCCGGTCAAAATATGCTATATTACCTCTATAGCGTGCAGAAACATCAAAACAGACTATACGAGAATCACCTATATCTATTTTAAGCGGAGCATCCTGATTGCTTGTAACTATATACACAGCATAATCATTTATTCGTATAGTTTCAAGACCTTTACGCTCTATAGCTACCATTCGTTCTGTTATAAGTGATTTGAGATGCCTGTTAAATCTATGCTATTTTCTACTAGACATCCCAGTCTCATTCATAATAATAAGCTTTCGAGCTTGAATGGCATTATTAAAACTTTCAAGAATTTTTCCAAATCTAACGTTATGAAATGGAGGTGTGATCCCAAGACTTTATCACCAATAAAATCAGTGATGATATTTTTTCTGCACTGTTATAATGTAGATTTTAGTACTAAAATAGTTTGGGGTTTCTTCTCTAGCTTCTGCATTAAATATGCCTACCAGTTCCAGATATATTCGTCAAGTCTTTCATCCCTATTACAGATTATGTTCTTTACATACCAGAGAATTAGGTCCATAATTTCTTTATTAATTTCCAACACCGGCTTAGCCAAAAATCCTAGGAAAAGATTAAAGAACTTTGTAGACTATTTAGCAGATATGGTAGAAAATTAATATTGCGGTAGAGTATTAAACCTTTAGTAATTGCCCAATCTATTAAATTAATTAACTTCACTGCCTCTCCTCTTAGCTCAACTAAATTAACTTCATATTTGGCAAGATCTAGTTTTGACGTCATATCGAAATAAAGTCTACCATTCATATCCTCTGTTTTGAACACTCATAATCTTGATGTCGTTTGAATACAGACAACTGTTGCCTGAATTGCATCATAAATCTTATTACGAGAAAATTTCCGTCCAGATACACACATATCTATTAGATCACCCTATATAAAGTAATCAATGGAATTTGTAATTCTGGATTGTTTTAGTTTTACGGAACTTGGAAGCTTTTGTTTTCGATCCAAAGCAGTTTCGCTAATAGTAAGTTTTTTTGAAGGTTTACTGGAGTGGGTTCCCTATCATTGTTTATCTGATAGCAGAAAAAGCTGTAGGATTTTTTATTTCAAATAATATATGCATTATCACTATCATGTTCTCGGTTATATATTGGACAGTGTGATGGAAAGATGTGTGATAGTGGAAATTTATCAGGAAAATTTTCAGATGGTTATGAGAGACAATACCCTTCAATGCTAGTCTCTTGAAGTAATATCTCTACTAGTTCAAATTCAGCTATGGTTGTTTCATTACTTATGCTAATATATTTTACACTTTCCGTTTCTGGAACAGCCAAGAAAGGACTATTGTAAATGATTTCTGATTCATCATTGGGTGAGCGGATCATGAAGATCCATCTTTTGGACAAATAGCTTTTTTATATAAACATGCTCCTCTGTTTTTTCATTGTATTTGGATGATCCAAGCATTCACAAGGAAAATGACCGTTTGTTTGTTATATTGTCTACAATACCTTTATCCTGTAATCCTGTTGTGAGTTTTTTATGAACAAGTTCAGTAAATATTGCAACCTGAGTGATGCTTGGAAGTCTCATACCAAAAGTTGAGACATGGAGAGATATTTTTTTTGCATCACTACTATCAGCAATAGATATAGTTTTTTTATCCTATTTTGGGAATATTTTTAGACAGACATCTCTAAAAGCATTGCAAAATGTGTTTTTAGCCTGTTTATCTGATAGCTTAGATGAAATAGCATTTAGCATTTCTATTAGTAAATCAAAATCTATGATAAGACGGAGTGGCTCATTACTATCAATATATTCATGTAAGGAATGGCCTTCACGATCTGAGAGTATTGCTTCTATTTCATCTGCATTATTTGCATCAAGGAAATGTCTTAGTCTAATACTATCATCACGAATTTTATATAACCATTCACTGATATCTTTAGCTTTAAAATCTTGTTTATACGAGACAGGGACATTGAGGAACTCTAAAAGCTCAGATTGTGTCATAGTAAAAATTTTCAGATATGTTATTTAGTATACCATTTCAGTATAATATCCCAACAAAAAAGTTTAAAATAAAAATAAATAATTATAGATATTAAAGTGTTATTTATCTAAGAATAATATTAATGGGTATAAATACATTTGCCAGTATCGTTCCAATGAAGGGGAGGTTTGTGGGCAGGGAAATAGAAAACCAGAAGGATGTTATATTCACTGGAAAAGATGCCAGCGACCTCTATGCAAACAAGATGGATGTGAAAGACCGATGGCTTCTAAATATAAATTTTGTGATTGACATGTAAAAAAGTATCATTTGAATGCATATTATCATCAGAAAAAGTTAGATAAGATGTTTCAGAACTGTCAGATCCTAGAAGTAATGAGTCAGGCTCTCGATAGAATGAAAATGCCTAATGTTATAAGTTAGCCTTAATGACTTATCAAAAATTATGCCTCATGAAAAATTTATAGGAATGGCAAAAAAACTTAACAAGGATGCTAGAAGTATCTTCTTTAACGATTTTAGAACTTTGAGAAGGCAATTTACTACTTGTCTTTAAGAGGCCCTATGAGCCTTATGAATTTTTGAACTCTTTACCTTTTTTTATTTTTTTATATATACCATACATGACTATATTTATCCAAGTGGTATACCATAGAAAAATTTTATTTTTTTCATAGAACTTTAAAATTTCTTAGGGTTGATAGGGTTCTTAAGGACAGATAATAAAGAATTTAATAAAACAAGCTAAGAAGCCCAAAAATGATATCAAGATTGTTCCTAAGAGCATTTTTAAGAATTTTTCTTATAGGGATAGAGAATTTTTATAAGAATGGCAAAAAAATAGCATACTCATCGCCTCAACCTAAATTAAACCATGATCAGGCTTCAAAAGTGCTTATAATATCCTACCAATATGCTGGCAACAAATAGGCAATAGTTGGATTGCAAGATGATACACTTCTAGCAATCAAATGGGCTGAACTAAAATAATACATATTACATCTCCAATTCTGGATACAAAAAATATGTGGTATAAATACATATATATTGGGTTCTGAAAACATTTCCAGAACATTTTTGTCACTAGCCTGTAACTATATGAAGGTATTCTATCGCTGAAATAGTATCACGTAACTATGATGCAGTGAGACGCAGTATAAATTCGCTTAACTTTGACCAGCACTATTATATAAATTCAGCCAGAACTTTGGATATAATAATTTATTATCCAAGCTGACATAAACTTGGTAAACTAATAAAACCTCTTTAGCTTTCCGCCAGTTCTATGACAGCTCTACAATAGTTTCAGGATACTACCAAGTTACCATAATGATGTCAAGCTTGATTCTCAAATCATATACTCTAAATATTAGCCAGAATTATGGCATAATATCAGCCAAAATTAATCGCAAATCCACTATGCCACCCAACACGATTTTTTTTACCACAATTTGGTATTTTAAGAGGCAACCAAATAGGCACAAAAAAGAAGCATCCTCAATATATTAACAGGTCATCAAACAGGCACAAAAGCAGGTAAACAAATGGATAGCTCTTTAGAAGTAAAAGGAATACAGAGTAATGTAAACACATAAATAGTTTCTTGATAAAAGAAAGGTCGTAGATAAGCGGAAAAATACATTCCATCAGATTGTGATGTCACCGTTAGATTATATAATAATCATACTAATAGATCATGTCACCACTGACCTATCATAACGCTATATAGCAGGAATTAATTAAATAGTAGTTAGAAAACCGTAAAGATAACTAAATTATAGGTTATAAAGCCACATATTGTCAACATCTGAAATTAACCCTACTGCGCTGATCATCAATGACCTATGGAATGATGATGTAATAAGTACTGTGCTAAATGATCCAGTGTTGGCACATGACCGGATGTGACCTAAATGACTTGATGACTAAGTCACAAGTCATTTAGTCATTTTAGCTAA